GAGCGGAATATTTGATGGAATAGGCTACACCCGAACCACTCAACTGGCGCCAAGAGGTTGTTGTTCTGCTAGCCAGCTTTGGGTGAATATCCACTATCGCAGTGTGGTTGGGAGGATTTAGGCCCTGAAAAAGATGGAGAACCTGTGCCTCCGAAGTTGTGACGTCAGTTATACAGGAATCCTGCGGGACCCTCATCTCGAAGCCGACATGCGGCAGCTGCTTATCCCGAACAATAGCCCACGCATACTGCCCACTGAGTCGAAAGGTTGTTTCTTGTTCAGTGTTGGCAGTGGCGTCGTCAATACCTACTAACACTGAGATAGGTAGCCAACGTTACTACGCCATCTGACCTAGGCCAAGAATCGTTTGTGGTTTGCGGAAGTAGAGTTAGCCACCTCCTTCACGTAGCTATGTCTAGTAGCTCGTAACTGACTCTTGCGCGTTGTTCGCGCTTCACTATAACGCCAAAAAGTACCTTCTGAGAGAACTGTCCGATAGATCCGTCGGCATCTCACCCTTCTCTTCATTAGCTGGTTTGCGACTGAGTCCAACCATGGTGGCTTTACTTTAGCAAGATTCTTCACCGGAAATGGAACGTAGGTGTGGGATATATTAAAGCGGACAGACTTATTTGTATTCCAAGCCTTCTGTATGACATCATTCGACTGGATGGTGCATGGGGAACTTACTGCCTTGGCTCTAATAGACTGAAAGTCGGCGAGCCAAATTTTCAGAGTTCTGACCCTGCGTGAACCGTAGTCTCTAATGAGAGCACAAGTGAATGACAAGCACACATGGTCACTGATCCCCCAAAGGGGGCCATACCCAAGGACACTCACGAAGCCGACCGACATTGAGAAAATTAGGTCAAAGCGCGAAGGAGCATGACCCACCGAGTACCTGGTGTGTCGACCGACAACTTGGTGTAAGCGTACTTCCAGTCTCATGTCGATAATCTCGGCAACTCACCCTTTTGCCCTGCCTCATAAATAGGCTATGCCAATTTACTTCTCCGATATAAATGTCTACCATTATCAGGCATCTGTTCGCAGAGCTTGTGCGGATGGTCAATGAAAAACATGGAAATGCTATCAGGGCTCCTATCCAGCAATACAATTTTAATTTGCTTTGACCCATTAGAGACTTCAACTGCAAGAGCTACAACAGTTCTAGCAACTTAGTTAAAAGCATGTGTTTTTGACCTGATTACACCACATCTGATGTATAGGGCGACTCCGCCTCCGCGGCGCTCACACGGTTGGTCAGCTCTCAGTACCGCGTTGCCCGGAACGCATAATTCACTGTCCATGACGTCAGAAAATAAGCATATTTCAGTGAACGCGTGTATCTCAGGATAGGCCTTGTCTGTTAGGGCCCCAATGTAACATCTTCTTTTTCAGGCTAGACAGATTACTGAGAACAATGTGAAAACGTTGGTGTGGAGGCCCCGACTCGTGCGCTACCAGGATGTGGTCTGGTAGGGCTGAAGTGAACTGTCGGCTCACTACACGAAAACCCACCAAACATAATCCTTTCTCGCTAACTTCTTGACGCGCTTTCAGGAGTTTAGTGGCTCTCTTAAGCTTTATCATATCCGCTAAGGCTAGGTCCGGCTGTATACTGACCCTGGAACCCTTCAGTTTAAAGGCGAAACGCAAAAGAGCTTGATGCTCCGGTGTAGACAGGACCACGCCCTATAAAAACCTACGTTTAGCAAATTTGCAGTTTGGATGGCAATTGCTGTTACAAAGTCTCTGTTAGGAAAAATACATTTTCTTCTCTTAGTGGGTTTTCGGGTGGTCAGCCGGCGGTCCTTTTCCGTCTTACCACTGCCCATTCTGGTAGCGCACGACCCAGGTCTGGATCTAACGAAAACCTTCAGATAGTGCTAAGTAATGTGCGCAGCCTAAGGAATAAGGTGTACGAGTTAGGTCTGCTTGTAGATGGGTCTCATCCCCATATACTCGCATTCACTGAAACGTGGCTGTCTCAGGACATCACGGATGGTGAAGTACATCCATCTGGCTACGCACTATTTAGATGCGATCGCTCTGCTGGCCGACAGGGAGGGGGCGTCGTTCTTTATGTGAGCTGTAAACTTGACGTTTTAAAGACTTGCTTATTTCCGTCGGCAGACAAAACTGTTGAAGCTCTATCGGCTGTTATTAGCACATCCTGGGCTCAGGTTACAGTTGTAATTGTGTATAGAAACCCTGGGAGCGTATCCAACGAGGTACTTGAATTCATTCGCTCCCAGTCCGCAAATAAGTGTTTGGTGATGGACAACTTCAACCTCCCAGAGATTTGCTGGGCAGATCTTACTTGCGACTCAGCGTCAGGCACATTCGGCGCTGATCTGCTTGAACTTACGCTCTAAGTATCTTTGCACCAGTTCATTGACCTCCCCACTAGGTACATGGACGCCCAAGTACCGTCTATCTTAGACCTTGTATTTGCTAAGTCACTCGATTTTGTTGATGACATTACTTACGGACCTCCACTGGGTTCCAGTGATCATGTTTGTTTGCTCTTCAGTTGTACTCTGTCTAGACGCTACCAGAGTACTGTTGAGTCTCGCCCGAACATATGGCAAGCAGACTATCAATCAATGAGAGCCAAGGCTTCTGGTTTCCATTGTGAGATCTCAGACGACGATACTGTCGAGGTTGCCTGGGATAAATTTAAGTCCTACCTCACAGAGGTCTCTGCTCCCTTCATCCCAGTCAGAAGGAGAAAGGAGGCCCGAGCACAGCCGCCCTGGATAGATCCCACTGGCAGGCATCTGCTCACAAAGAGGTCTAGATGTTGGCGGACTTACCGAGATGCTCCGTCCACCGATACGTATGACAGGTACCGTAAGGCTAGAAATAGGTGTAAGCAACACCTAAGGCATGCTAGGCTCAATTTTGAAAAAGGGTTAGCGGACGAAGCTTCAGAGAATCCAAAAAGATTCTTCGCTTATGTCAAAAGGCGCTGCGCTTCGAACATGTCAATTCCAGTATTGATGCGTGATGACGGTACTCATGCGCATACGGACTATGACAAGGCCTGCGTACTCAGTGGGCAATATGCGGCAGCGTTTGTAAGGGAAACCTCTTTGACAGGCGTTGAGCTGGTTTGCAGGACCCCAGAGGGTTCAGAACTATCTGAATTTATTGTAACGGAGACTGCAGTTCGTAGGCTGTTACAAGGGCTGAACCCTTCTAAGGCCTCTGGGCCTGATTTAATTCACCCGAAACTGTTGCATGAGTTGGCTGCGGAACTAAGTGGACCGCTCGCTATTGTGTTTCAGAAATCGCTTGCCAGTTGTGCATTGCCTTCCGAATGGAAGGAAGCTGTCATCTGTCCCATCTTCAAACATGGGGACAGGGGTCTGCCTGCAAATTACAGGCCAGTTAGTCTGACGAGTGTAGTAGTCAAACTCCTCGAGAAACTGGTGAGAGATACATTGGAGAGTCATCTGAGTAGATTTAATCTACTTAGCAATGTACAACACGGATTCCGGAAGGGATTTTCGTGTCTGACGAATCTGTTGGTGGCTCGCGAAAATTGGGCGGATGCAGTGGATAACGGCCACACATTGGACGTGCTTTTCGTCGACTTTTCGAAGGCATTTGACAAGGTACCCCATTTGAGGCTCGCGCAAAAGCTGTCCTCCTACGGGGTATCTGGCCGCGCCCTTCATTGGGTGACTGCCTTCTTGGAGGATAGAGAACAGTGTGTACGGGTAGGCCGGGGCCTATCATTTAGGCAGTCTGTCCTCAGCGGCGTGCCGCAGGGCTCGGTCCTTGGACCGCTGTTGTTCTCTATCTATGTGAATGACCTACCCGCGGAGCTTGAGGTACCATCGCTGCTATTTGCTGATGACCTGAAGCTGTGGAACATTGTTGATGTTCCTGGGGGTTCCGAAGCTATTCAGCGAGCATTGGATAAGCTTTGGGACTGGTCTACTTTATGGTTACTGCCCATAAATCAGGCAAAGTGCTCCGTTCTTCGAATTGGAGGAGGTTGTCCTCCTGCGAAGTACTTGGTCGGTGGGGTCGAACTCCCCCGTGTATCTAGCCAGGTTGACCTAGGCGTCGTACACTCTTCGGCTTTACACTCCGGCGACAACTGGAAGAAGGCCGCAAGCAGGGGTTTCCGCATGTTGTGGTTAATCCGACGTTCTTTCGGAGTCTTGACGGGCGGCATCTTTACGAGGCTGTTCTCGGCTTTCGTTCGGCCTCATCTGGAATACTGCGTCCAGGCTTGTCCGCCCTGCCTCGTCCGGGACAAAATGGAGCTAGAGAGGGTTTTACGAGTGGGTACTAGGTTAGTCGAGGGATTACGGGGACGGACGTACCCCGAGCGTCTACTTAGTTTGGGAATGCATTCAATGCACTACCGAAGGCTTAGAGGAGACCTAATCCTAACCTACCGTATCTTGACTGGGAAGGTTGGTCCAGATTTATCTTGGCTATTCAGTCCCGCTAGATTGTCTGTTCTACGCGGTCATTCGTTGAAGCTGGACAAACCGCGGTCCGATCGGATTAGGGCGGAAATCCGGCTGTCACGCAGAGTCATCGACCGCTGGAACATGCTTCCGGAAAGTGTTATCAGGGAATCTACGGTTAAGGGGTTTGAGCGGCAACTTGACGCTCTTGGGTGGCAACACGAAACCTTTCCATTTTCCTGAGTAACTCGCATCTTCGTACTTCGATTTTCTTTTCTCTACTTTTCTTCACGTATTGGTATTATTTTCTTATTTAAGTGCACTTCCCTATTCTGTACCTTCGATTTCTCTTCCTATCCTTTGCTTACTTCACGTGACTGCCACAGCAGGGACTGCTAGGGCAGGAAACGTGGGCATTAACTGGTTGGCCAGGGTGCGATACGGGTGTTTCCGTTTTAGATCCATCAATAACTGTGCACTTCATCAATTCCTGGCTCAACGATCCACTCAAGATGGAACACTCACGGGATTCTCCTATCGTTCCAGTCCCCATCTGAACTGAACTGAACTCAAAACGGACTGGTGGAACACCGCCGTTTTTCATCATGTCTTTGGTACAGCCTATGATTGCTGCGCCAGCGAGTGGTTCCCACTTTCGTTCGTGATGACATGGAAGTTACGCTGGCCGGTCTTGCAGTTTACGATTCTTCCGACTTATTGAGGCGCTTAAAATCTATATTTTCGGCTTTGGCTAGGAACGTGCTTGATATTCCGACTGAGATATATCTAGCGTTGTTTTTCGGTTTGCTTGTCATGATAGCCACGGCGCTATGGTCGCGAAGGCCCCATACACTGGCTGTTGGAGTAAAACGCGGCCGTGGTAGTCATCCTTTTAGCTTCGAGACGTACCTAGCCGAATGGCTCAAAGTGTACGTTGATCAAGCGAAGAGTGACCCAGCTTCCTGGATGCTTGCCTTATTGATACCGCAAATCAACTTCGAACTAACCAGACTAGTTTGTTCCTATATTCTGATAGAGTACGATTTGTAGATCGGTTCTGCCGTTTCTGTCCATGATATTATTTTGAACAGCACTCCTCATTATCAAATAATCCATATGTCTTCTGAATTACTAGGGGATATTACTGAATCTGTAAGATGTCGTTTATTTCTTGATGTTGTAGGTGGCTACAACCGCTGTTTTCCTCCCCTCCGTTACAATTTATGCCCAAATAAGTCTTTCTGACAGCTCTGCTTTGTATTGCACTCTAAAAGCGTCCGTGAAGTCCAAGGTTAGTGTCATATTGCTCATCTCCTGGGCTCCAGGTGAAATTTTTCATCAGTCATCGCGACGCAGATTTGCTCATTGTGAATATGTACACTCTTCCTGATACAGAATTATGCCCGATAAGCCATAGTCCGGATTTCGACGTAAGTCGCTAGCTACTACATAAAACGTCACTTACTTTACCGTGTTTCTTTCGTAGCTTACTTGTGTTTGGCCTTTGAATGACCAAAAGCTATCTTCGAGTTTATCCATTTTCTGTTCGTTTTAGGTAGACTGGTTTAAAAATCTGCTTGTAAATGCCCTGCAACGATGCAAAGTTGCTTGGACTCCGGAAACGCCTTCCACCTTCACACATGCAGCTGCGAATTTAACAGGAGAACTCTCGCGTACTTCAGTATGGCGAACGAAGTCATCGGTGCGTTATTAATATTTAACTATCATATTTCGATTAAGTTACAGCCGATCTCACCAATTTACCACATACTTCTTTCGGAAAGCCTATTCGCACTGCTCATCACTCGTCAGATTTTCGGTCTGTTCTGGTTCTGAATCGCTACAGCTGTGCCGTCAATTGCAATGGACTACGTAGTATTTTTATATGTGATTCATCAAACCCGCTCGCCTTTTCCGTCAAATTCCAGGTATCTTTAATTGCCGGCCCGTACCCTAGGAGTAACGAGCCTTTCGTAACCTTGCGGCGCGGGTTTGAGTCTACGTAGGTGCGAGGCGACCCTCACAGTATCCGTAGCCCACATGCTGCCCGTTCTAGTTGCGTGGCACTGAAGCGTCGGCACTACGTACCGGCATACTGCTGATCCCTAGGTAGTTTTTCACTGATGGCTCAGTAGTTGAGCTAAATCCATAAACTGCTGTAGTAAAAAACAACAACAGCAGTACATCAGCTATTTGAAATGATGCTTCGTTGACATACAACCATGACGACCTATGCAATAGAGAATAATAAAAGGGAGAGAAGGGCGACTTACCTATAGACCTTGATGCCCTAAGCAAACATTCAGGGTCAAGCGCCTACACCTTATGTTAACAACACCGTCAAACAGCTGGCTATCATGCAAAGATAAGGCGACATCAGTGAGACAGCTTACTTGCGGCTTTCACTGGCCCGCGTCGTAATCAACCATTATCCCGCAGATAACCCAGCGCCAAACACTTTAAATAAACAATCCGATTAGGAGACGGCAGCAGACTGGTGTCTACTGCAAGCCATGTCCTGTAAAGTGTCAGTCCTCTGTCAGGAAAACCTATCAAAACGCACTGCGTACCGAACTTTCGCTGCTGGAGCAGGAGCCTTAGGTTTACCACTTTCATCGAACATTCCCTGCTTGTAACATAGTACACCCCTTTCAAGAGACTGTTACCTCCGTTCTGTCCAACTGCCACTTTCAGACCATTATCTGCAACATTTTACGTCTTGTTTGCAACCATCGCAAAGAGACGACCTTAACGTGGTGCGACGATCTGCGTGCCTTTTTGATCCGTTGAGCTATATTGGCTGGTGCCCCCGGTCACCTTGAAAGCTGCTCCTACCAGGTTGGTCAGTGGTGAGAGATCAGACAAACTCAGTCTCCTGGTCCTCCAGGTTGGGGGTTTGGAATGGGATGGCGTCCATTTCCGTAAAATTAAATCATTGCCACCTCCCCGCTGCCTTGCGGAGAGGATTCTGAGCCAAAAGCTTTTGTTTCGGATCCTAATCGTCCTCCTGTCTAGGTCTGGGTGCCCTGGCAGTATCTCAGCCCACATACAACCATGACAATTTCTCCAAACTCCAACTACACCCTGCATCGGCTGTCGCCCAGATTACCAAGGGTCGCCTTATCTGCTGCATACGTCAGTGCGGATAAGCAAAAACTGGCGCCTCCTTTCTTTCCACCTGTTTCTGTTACTTCCATCCCAACCCCCATTACTAACCTTCCTATAATTTCCAGTTTAATTGACAGCAACCGAAGTGCCACTGGAGTAGAATCATCTGCAGCCACCTTCCCACAACACCCATCGGACGCCTATCGGCAACAGCCCCTTATAAGCCCACTCTGTCCAGTTTCCATGGCGGCGTTCAACGCTCGCACTCTGAGACAAATAGGTACGTTGGAATATTGTATTCAATGGGAATAAAACTCAAGCCCTACAGGGTAAAAAGAAGTTTGGGTTGGGTCTGATGAAAGGCCAAGCAACCTTATCTTTATCGGGCTTATGCGACATGTAAACAGAATTCACGCCGGCTCAAAGCGTGACATCCCACCACGCCCTCCGAAACGGCTATGGAAAGGAATTAGGTAGAACAGAAAAAAGTAGAGAAACTCCATCAGGTAGAAAGTAGTTGTCTCGGGGAATATCACAGTGTAGCTCGGCCAGATGACAGTCCAGGTGGGTCTTAAACTCCGCAACAGTGGGTACCGAAACTAACTCGGCAGGCATAACATTCCACCGTCGGCAGATTCACAAAGCGAAGTAGTGTCGTCTGCAGTAGGAAGGAGGCGACATTTCAGACCGTTAAATGTAAGGTTGTTTTTTATGGACCACTGATGTAGACGGTCAAGATCCGTCTGCAGTGCGTGGGCATCATCCGGGACGTCAATTATGCGCCGCGGCTTCGCGTCATCCGCATATAGCAGCAGCGAAGACTCCACTTGCGGTGTGACGTCATTAATGAAGGCTAGGAAGGGGTCCGGTCCGAGAACAGACCCTTGCAACACCGCTTGTGGCGAGGATGCGGCGGACAATGCTACGTCGACGCGTACTTGGACGGTACTGTTTTGGAGGTAGTTCCGAATCCAGTCCACCAAGGCCCCTGAAATGCTGTAAGACAACTGTTTCTGTAGTAGAATGTTGTGGTCGACCTTGTCGAAGGCTTTGGCCAAATCCAAGAATATGACGTGCCAGAATCGGCAGCAGTTGTCCAGTTATACCTGGCAAGTAGCAGGTTACCCAGGCACGACCGTTGCCGCCGGAAGCCGTGCTGGCAATCGAAGAGCAGTTTCTGGGCCTCCATGTGGTCGATTAAAGCGTCTGCGATGATTGATTCCATCACTTTGGAGATCGTAGACAGGAGGGTTATCCGTCGGTAATTGGCCGGGTCTTTGCGAGTACGCCTTTGTAGATTGGTGTAATAGTCCCACATTTCCAATCATTGGAAATTTTGCCTTGCAAGAAGAAGTGAGTAAACAGGCTGCATTCGCGCGCACCTTGAACACACTAGGTATTGATGTGTTGTGTGTCCTAAACTAGGATCAATAACCCTGCTGCGGTTGTTGAATTAATTTGCGTCGGCTTGTCCTCTCGCTATTGGTTGCACCGGCTGGTGGCCGAGTGGTCTGCACGTTTGGTTTGCAACATAGGGTCACCGGTTCGAATCCCCGTAGGTGTGGGCGTCCTCGCGGTACACTCAACCCACGTGCGACTAGTGATGGTCGCGCGGCAGCGAACCGCCGTTACGGCGTACAGCTGACACATTATTATTCACATTGCATTGGTTGCACCCATCCGGAGATGCCGATGCAGCACTTACAGCTCAGACTGGTGTGGGTATCATTCTAAGCTCCAAGTCTGAGCCATCGTTGGTTGATTGGTTTCCGGTGAACAGCCATTTGTGTGCAACCCGTTTGACAACATCAACTAAGGTTTATTCACGATGTATTACAAACACGGTCTGTTTGTGATTTCCGCTTATGCTCCCACCGACTGCAGTTCTAACGCTGCCAAGGACTCATTCTATCACGAACTGAACGCTCTACTACGCAGTGCTACTAGTTCGGATATTATGGTACTTGCAGGGGATATGAGCGCACAAGTAGAGCGTCTGAGCTCTTCGGTAGCTCAGCTAGGTTGTACTTATAGGCTTAACTGCGAACGGACTGACAACGGCGAGCGTCTGCTGCAACTGTGTGCGGAGCACCAGTTGTTCCTTAGTAGCACTGCTTCTGGACAAAGTGGGCGCGGAAGTGTCACTTGGCGTCCTCCTGTAGCTGGCTAGTTATGGACCCAACTACATCATTTTGCCATACGATACAGGTTTCGTGGTTCAATCCTGAATTGCCGCTCTTTTTAGAATACGTGCCTCGATTTTGATCACGTCTTAGTACGTTGTCGTTTTTCCATGAACTTTACCGGGAAGCGCACCAAGGGTCTCCTCCGATTGGTAACGGAGAAATTGTTCCAGCCCTCGGTCAGACAAGTCTATCAAGACGCACTTTGTACTGAACCTTCGCTCCCTTGTCCTAATGACACTGCGTTTCAGTGGAATATGATCTTGGCCGCCATGCACGATGCAGATGCATCTGCTTGTGGTACTATCCATCGTCACCGCACCGGTCACTGAATATCCGAGAGGTCGGTGAACCTGTTGGAATCTAGAAGAAACCTCCCGGTTGGCTCTGAACACAATATGACCAGACGGGCTATTAGGCGCAAAGTAAAGCGAAGCCTACTTGCTGACAAGGAAGCCTGGTGGACCAGTAGGGCTCAGAAAGGGAGGCGACAGGAGCAGTAGGCAATTACCGCAAGCTCCTTTAGCTGGTCCGAACCACTGGTTTCAGGAAACCAGGCGTCAGTGAGACAATCAGAGACAGCGCGGGTGCGCTGATACATAATGAGGAGCACTGTATTGCTCGTTGGGCGGAACACTTTCAAGTTCCAGCTGACCCCTTGCTCCCAGACCTCTTTCTACTCAAGTGATGCAGGACGAGCAATGGACGGTTAGTTTAGAGCCTCCGTCAGGGGCTGAGGTCCGAAACGCGATCACAGCTCTCAATCGTTTTCGTACCGCTGGTCCGGATTCCCTCCCACCTACACTTTTTAAGGATGGAGTTGAGGTCCTCTGCGAAGCACTGACCTCCCTATTCGAACGTATCTAGAAGGAAGTGTCCCGACTAACTGGAGCGCATCGATTATAGGGGCACTATACAAGGACAGTCGCACAGACTGTTCTAAACACAGGGGTATTGGCCTAACGCCAGTTGTGACAAAATTACTGGCCTCAATTCTCGTTCGTCGCCTCAATGTGGAACGGGAATCTTGAGTTAGGGAAGAGCAGGCAGGTTTCCGCCCAGGACGTGGCTGTATAGACCAGACATTCACTCTGCGGCAGATACTAGAGCAGCGCCACGCATACCACAGACCGACAATAGCTGTGTTCTTCAATTCATCATCATCAGTGCACGTTAGCTGTGGGTGAGAAACACCTCAGCTAATGTGCCGCAATACAAAAAGATAAGAGACTAAAAAATTACACTACGGGAATATGATGGTAAATATTATATTATACGTTTTGCATGAGATCGGGATTGGTGAGGGAACCTAAATTGAGGGGGATGGACAAGAGAACACAATACAAACACCATTGGGGCTGGCTCTTTGCCATATCAGCAAGTGTGTGCAACCAAACGTGTTCATCGTCCT